GATAAAAGTAACCCTTCGGATGTTTTCCCTTTAATGTAGGTAACCTTTACGTTAAAAGTTTTGGATTAAAATAAAGTTTTTGATGAAGTTATAATTTGAGTTTTCTTTGCAAGATTTTCAAAAGGTCGGAAATGTAATATAATGACACCCAATTCTAAAGAGTATGTAAACATACAATATTTTATTTATGGTGGCCCGGTCTCTAATACCCGCTTCTCATCACGAGGATGCGACCCTATGACGATGCCTAGCAACTATAAATGTGATTTTCTTCCAAGTAAAATTTTCGATTATTTGGACACAACTGACACAGTGAAGGAAAGAAATCGGAACATAATAATTTCAAATTATGAATTTGAGAACGCCAATCTACCCTAAGGAAGCTTCCCTGTTGAGACCTTTACTCGGCAGTGGACACTTGTTGACTAAAATCACGATGATGACGTTGAAACATTAAGTAAATTAAGTTTTAGTTCAGTAAATTTTGCAATTTCATGTGCAAAATATTCCGTTCCAGAAATCTTCCATTACGTAGAAATTCTAACAAAATAAATATTAACCAACCAATTCTAGATAACCCCACCTTTTGATTGGCTCTTACGACTAATAAACAATTTGACATCCAATCAGAATTCAATAACGTAACAAACATAGATAAACGAATCATCTAAAAATCTATTGTGTAAAATGCCAACCAAAAAGGTTTTATATCCTGGCTTGCTTTATCCAGACATAAAAAGAGGTAGGACTGTGAACTATGTTTCGAGATAGTAGTTATCTATTATGTTAGGTTATATCGAAGCACGTTCCCCTGTGGAATCAGTCGAATTGTTCCATTTTCTTATAAAAAGTGCGGGCTGCACAATTCTTTAATCATGGTTAAAACTGAAAAAGGAGATTCTAGTTTAATGTGATTGAAAGTGTGATGTTAACCAACAGAATCTTTATTAGGAAAACGATTTATTCAGACTATCAGAATCATAATTATGAAATAATTATAACTGTAGATACATGTCTACATGGATAAAGAGTAAAGTTGTGGTCAACAAAATTTAACGTATGTATATTAAAAAAAAAAACAGATACATAGTGTGGGCCAAATAAACAGGATGTCTCTAGAAGTATGGATGAAATCAAAAACAGAAAAAGTCATTACCAAACATTTATGACAATACGGTAGTTTCCAACTAGTCAAATTCTATACTTTTATCCAAATGTCAAAAACGATACCTTTCTATAAAATTTGTATGAAAAACTGAGCTATGACGTCATAGTATTTTTGCGTCAAATAGCTTAGGTACTTATTTCATAATAGTCAGCTTCAAAATATCTTAAACTTAATCTATCGATCGATCGATGAATAAAAGTATAGTTATTTTTCAATATTTTATAGTATTGAAAAGTCGAATTAATTTATTTTTGACCTAGGAAACTACCCAATTCCTTAAATTATCTTTCTCTCCTTTTCATTCTTTATACAGCAATAATAATAATAGTAATATTAATCGTATTTTACTAGTTAAATACCACCAATACCGTATTGCTAATCGTGCTTAAAACAAAGTTTAAACTCAGATTATTTTATTTAAACAAGTGGTGCCATTGTACTGTCTAGCCGCAGAACATACGCAGGTATATTTGTGTTTGTCGCCTCTGACTAAACGCATATTGTCTTATATTTTATCCATGTGTCGTGTCTGCCTATGAAGGCTAGCAAATCGAATATTGAACGTTGCTCGTATACTGAATATTTAAGCCCAATACATAGTTATGTCTATATTTATTCATGAAATATTTTAGTATATTAAAATTGCACAGATTGCATTGTTGATCGAGTTAAATAACAAGACATTATTAGGAATTTTCGTTTTTAATAAGAACGTACCTTTAACTGAAAATTGGTATAAAAATATGTTTCCATTTGAAATGGGACTTCATATAATAACGTCGCATAGTTAATGAGTAATTTCAAACAAGACTAACTAACAGTATATTTTTTCGAACGATACATAGAAAGGGCACAGATAAATATAGTGAAAAGTTACAATAAATTGACATTGGCAGCTGTCACTTTCAAAATATTTAATCTGTGGTTTGTGTTGCAATTACTAAACTTGTAAACAGAAAATCATACCTTATGTCATAAAAAATATTGTTGAAATACATGCCCTTTTGCTCATTCCAAATTCAAAGAAAATACTTTGTACAAACTTAATTCTACTTAAACATACTTTGTACAAATTTAATTCTGTCCACAATTTTGCGATAACATCAGCATTCATGACTAAGTATGCTTCATATATCTGCCATGCATACTGTGTGTATGATTATTTTATAACCCTCAAAGCACATTATCTATGCCTTGAAGCAAGACAGGTTAAACTCTTGAAGTAAATAATATATATGCACCGTCCGATATTCTGTTAGTATGTGTATCTTAGCATTATATTATTATTAAACTTAAACTAAATATAAATTTTACAGAAAGATTGAAACACTTGACTAAACGAAGTGTTTACAAACTTATAATACATATATATGTACACTCTTTTTGTATTAATAACGAATCAAAAATAACTCAGTAATACATTTTTCAAGGTCTTTAAAACACCTAATTAAACACAACCAAATACGAATTAACATTGCTCAAAAATAAAATACGTTTCATAATGATGGCACATCTGTTTAAAATTTCGCGCTCAGTATTTACTCAAACACAAAGGGACCAATTAGGCTCATTAATCTTAGGCAAGGAACTAAAGACTCCCTGAGGGCAGTACAAATTATTAACTAGTACACGTAATGGCTCAAATAATTCCAACAGGATATTTGATTTGTTAACTACGTTCGGTAAGGAATTCGATTAAGTTTTAATAGGAAATTTTGATTTGAAAGGGGTAAATGTCCATCAGATCTTGTTAGATCTTGATTTAAAATGTTGGATATGTATGAAAAAACAACAATTCGGTGTTAACACAACAAATTATTGTGTGTGAACAACAAATTATCGAACTAGTCAAATTCTTTTATATTCATCATCAGCCTGTTGTCGTCCACTGCTGGACATATGGACATTATTATACTTTTATTCGAATGTCAAAAATGATCCTATTTTTCTATGAATTTCGTATAAGATTCCGCCATATAACGTCATAATGATTTAAGGTCATACAGCATATTTAATGAAACATTAATTAAACATTTGTTTAAATTCAAATAATATTTCACAAGAAGAAATCTATTATTAAGTATATCGTCTAATCAATGACTACCCTATTATTATATAATTATGTATTTACTTGGTAATGAATGATATATATATATATATATACATATATATACATACATATAATTATGTATTGTTTGTGTAGATTTATTATAGTGGTATATATATTCTTCAGCCTTTTACAATTTCATAAATTTCATGCTTGCTTCTTGCATCTGCCATTGGAATTCTTCTCTGCATCACCCAAAGGTCAGACTGGTAGAGAATGCTCAAAGCATTAAGTCCACCTTGTGTACAGTATCTTGTGCATGAAGCTTATAATAAATAAATAAATAAATATTATTTACAGTAGGTAACGTTTTGTTGAAGATAAGATTAAACAAAATATCTAAATAGTAACTTTGACAACAAGTCTTTTCTAACAATGTCATTTTTCCTACACAGTAAACTAAGCACTTAGATACTTAATACAGCTAAGAGTTCTCTATAATTAGCAAAGCTTTCAGATCCTTAGCTGTTCAAGAATTTTAATACAAGCTTACCTAAAGCAGGAGTAATGGCCGTCCGTCCAGAGGCTCTTATCATAACGAGGAAAATACATCACGGGTCAGACGGCCTTAGAGATGGTTCACTAAAAATATGTTGCCTAATTAATGTGGTCTCATCTGTTTCATTTTACGAAGATAGATGGAAATTATGAGTAAGGGAGCTGATTTACAACGCTTTAAGGATAATTGGGTAATTTCTTAGTTCGTTTCTGGACACGTTGAGTGAGATGTGTAATGAAATCGACATTTATTATTCAATTCATACAAATTTATTTTAAAAATCAAGTCCTTAAAAATTTTGTAGTCATATAAAAAGAAATAAAAATTAATGATAAAACAAAAAAAGGATTACCTATGTGGATAATGGATTACTTATTTGATGTGCATTGAAATATTGATATCCTTTTTTATAGGAGGTCGGAAAATGAGCATGAGCATGAGCTGATGACAAATAATCAATACTAGAAGACGAGTGCATTGCCAGCCTTCTGTAGTGTAGAGTATTAAGAATTTGGGGTTGGGGGACGAGGCAATAAGAGAAAATTCAAAATTAAATTTTTATTTGTATATACACGTAGGTCATCCTCTCTATATTGACAGTTAACAAGAAACACTTACTAGTTAGTTACTGTTTACTAGTTAGTTAATTTGACTGCACGGTTGATGCGGTGGCTGGGCAACTGGCTGCCGTGACGTGTCGCGGGTTCGATTCCCGCACGGAATAACTCTTTGTGTGACCCACAAATTGTTGTTCCGGGTCTGGGTGTCATGTGCACTTGAAATTGTATTTTTGTAACCGCAATCACGACACAGGAGAAAATCCTAGTGTGGAGCATTTAAAAAACAAAAAAAAAATAACAATCAAACAATGAAAAACTGAATTTATTTTTGTAAATAAGAAATAAAACAGCACTTTTACAGTATCTTGTATTTAAAAAAATATGAAGCAGGCATTTTCTATTACTGGTTACTCTGAGAAAATTAACGAAACAAACTCAGAAGTCCCTCTATTTATTTTTAAAGTCCAGACAATGTAAAAAATGATAAATATACATAATATGTGAGAATTGTGCAAGTCCATTCTGTAGTGGTCTTTTGACGAAAGAACCTCACCATTTTATGAGGACTCGCTCTGAAGACAGGAACACAAGATTTAAATATGCTAGCTACAATAAAACTATGTCTTGGAAAACAAAACACACTTACATCAATATATTGTTCTTCCGCGATAAACACATGGCTATATAAACACTCACCACCTTTTTTTCTATTACTATGACTTTATCAGACTCTCTGTCCATTTAACACTGCCCTCCAACATTGCCATCTAAATAATTCAACAGTTTATCAGTTAAGACGTAACATTTTGAACCTTCTTGTCCCTTCCTCGGCTCCATCGGGACATTCGTACTTAAGCACCAAGGAAAACACAGATCGCCTTAACATGCTCGTAAATTGAAGGGACTGCGTTGTTTTAACTAAGAGGTTTTGAATGTTTTTGTAACAAATCTTAGGAGTTTGTAGCTTAGCGGTATTGGTAACTGGTCTATTTATATGCATATTGTAGATATTGTACACCAATTTAGTATTATTACTTATTGTCGAAATGAAAAAGATTTTTAGACCTAGAAGTAAAAAAGACTATACACATTCACAAGTGGCAAATTTTTGCCCAGCATTGCAATAAATTTTCCTCCAAAATCGTAGAGTTGAAGCATTATGGACAACCTTTGGTGTCAATTCTAAATCAATCGTTAAATAGTTTCTCGAATTTGTATTGTAGGGCTGCCAAACTGTGCCATTTGGAGTTGGATTCCTGTAACAATAATAAAATAGTTGTTAAAACGCGTTCTGGTAATTAATGGATCTATTATTATAATATTAGTAGAGGTATCATTATAATTCAGTATGTTTACCATAATTATGACCAATTTGGAAGCTAAATAAACTATTCTATAATAATTAATGATAATTTATCATGACTCATTATGCGCAGTAAGCAATATTACGTACCCATATTTAGCGAAATTTGTATACAATTTACAAGTTTGGTCAAGAATTTTTCGAGAATCATTTCCCAATGACGGGTAAACGGGTCCACTAAACAAATATCCAAGATCATCTGCATGGGTTGAGTTCTTTAAACCATATCTCTCTCCGTATTTTCCATAAACGTTTCTCTCAGTGTAACCAGTAAAAACGTAAAAATAAGCTTCTAGGCCGGCTTTTATCCACATCTCCAGAAATCTATAAATATGGTGGACATACGTGAAGTCAGTGTAAAAGTTAATTAGTTCTTTCATGTTTTTGTCATCTTCTTTTAATTTGCAATCGCTTAAGTAATGTCGCCGAATATCATTGCCAATATCTAGTACTTCTGAGCCTGTTTTCTCATTGGCAATTCTCACAGGCACCAAAAACTCGTCATAGGGATAGTATTTTAATAAATAGTCTTTTTGGGTGACGGCTCTATAAATACCTTCTTCCTCTGTGTGACCTAGAACTAATTCAACTGAATTCACTTTTCCGTTGATTAGTAGTTCCATCGGATCCTCTGAGAGAAAATTTCCATTCTCCATTTGTTTTTCAATAATGGGTCTAAAGTTCATAATCTCAAGTAATTCTCTTCTTGCTTGCTCATTGTAAAGCAGAAATGGTTTAGCTGTGACCAAGTCAACGGCTTCAGCTTGTTGTAAATAACTCAATGCTTCATTGGGATCATTTGTGCAGTTACCTAACTGTTTAGCTAGAAGAAGGGCCCGTTTTTTATGTTCAAAAGGCGATTGAAAATCCTTAAAGAAAGCTCCACTCATAGCAATAGCTCTTTTAAAAAGGCCTTTCGACAATGGCGACAGCAAATGCAGCGTTACTGCTGAACCTCCAGCACTTTGTCCAAAAATGGTAACGTTATCTGGATCTCCTCCAAAGTGGGCTATGTTCTTCTTTACCCAAACCATTGCAGCTACTTGGTCTTTCAAGCCAACGTTACCTGGAGCTTCAGGAATGTCTAAAGACAAGAAGCCTAAAACACCAAGTCTGTAGTTGATGGTAACGAGAACAACTTCCCGGTCTATTAGGAAATCTGGTTCAAGCTGGTCATCATTACCGGACCCTTTGACGTAATAGCCACCGTGTATGTAGAACATCACTGGTAATGGGGTTTTTGGTGTTAAGGTAGGAGTGTATACATTTAAAAAGAGACAGTCTTCGTTCCCACTGAAATTTCCATTTGTATTAATATCAACTTGTGGGCAGGTAGCGCCGTGACTTCTCGCATCTCGTACACTTGTCCAAGATAAAGGTGGTTGTGGATCCTACGAAATAGATAAAACATTTAATTTTAATTGAATTATTATTTGTTATCTTTTCTTATAATTTATGTTTTTTGCATTACGTTATAATTATTTTTATGTTCTATAAAAAGTTATTTAACCAGCTGTAGCTGTCGATAATCAAACAAAAAAATAGCAGTTAGTTAAACAATGTACATATGGTGGTATATGTCCATATCTAGTCATGATCATAATTTTTAGGTATAATTCTAAACAATGTTAGAATTATACCGGCTTATATAACAGATACAAAATCGGTACTCATTTTTTTTTCATTTTACACGCTGAATTTTGATAAACTTGTTATGAATGTGAAAATCGTGATCGTAAAAATTTGCAATTTTGCTTTTATTACATATGTAATATACTATTGAGTAACTAAAAACTAAAAACAAAATTAAATAAATAATGATCAAGTGCATTGTTGTATTAAATAAAAAAAGTTAATATAGTTCTTACCCTAAATCTGAGTGGACCTATGGGTGGCGCCGCGTATGGTATACCCTTAAAACTCAAGTATTCTCCATTGCCAGTGATCCTCCTTAGGCGTTTACCTCTTAATTCTCCCTGTTCCACTTTCACATGGACACATAACTAAAGTAGAAAATTAGATTTTAGAACTATAGCTTTATGCTTTTGTTCCGCACACATTAATAAATATATTTAAATTATTGTATGACTCTATAAAAAAAAATCGCATCTAAATCTGTAACGTAGTTTTAAAGATCTAAGCAAACAAAAGAACTGATAGCGGGGATCAACTTTGCTTTATAAAATGAAGAAATAAACAGGAAATTAATCAGTCATCACAATAAACACTCAATCAATATTGCAAATATAACATAATATTAATTTAAGTATTAAATGCATATCTTATAATAAAGATCGTTGAGGGTGAAAAAAAACTTACCGAGACCGTTAATATCTCCGTTAGCAGAAAAAATATAAAAAAATAATTCAAACAAATCCCACATTTCATTGTGAATAAAATTTTAAACGCTCACACACAACTACTCGTACAAGTATCACAACAGCTAATGGCAATGAACTCTTACAATATTTCTGTATTTTAAATGTGCGTAGTTTTGTTCTCGGCTTTGCCTGTAGGTATTTGCGATAGCGACTTTTTTAAAACATCACACTTACATGTTTTGGCGTAAATTTATCATGTAGGAATACTACAATAGAAAGTAATTATGCGACCTGGCTTTTCTACTCGTTGTTATCAATTGTTTTTTATAACCTTTTTTATATGTACCTACATACGTATAAATGTATTTTTTTTCTTAAGTATTTCTTTACCGCGTAATCTTATTTCTTTATCTTATCTTCTAAGTCTATTTCTTTACCGAGTAAAATGTGTTTTTTTCCAAAAGATACAGGTATACATTTTTTTGAAACACCTCAACGATTAGCTATATATATTTTTTGCTTTTCTTAAATTATTTAATGTGAGACACGATGTTGTCTTTAATTTAATGTTTGTTTTTTTAAAGTCGTTAGACAATATGTTTGTGTTACTTTTTACCTACCTACATAAAAAAACTATCATTTAAATTATAATTAATAGGTATAAATTCAATATGTATATGTATATTAAAGAGCAAAGTCGTTGTGTCTTTGTATATACTTGGATATTAAAAAAACAAAAAAAAAACTACAGGACGGATTTTGATACGATTTTTTTTAAAGACAGAATATATTTTTTTTATGCTTTGTAGACAAAATCGTGGACATGAAGCCTGTTAAATGATGATATCAATCGCAATATCAAAGCATTAAAACATTTATTAAGATTTAAATAGGTTTATGGAGTGTAAAGTTTCACTTGAAACAGGAAGATAAATCCACGAATAAATGTGATATTCAAAAGCGGAGGCCATTTTATTTCACTGTAAAATAATAGTCAGTTGATTACCACAGTAAAGTCAAAAGTGCAATTTATTTTAAAACGTTGCCCGGCCATGGGTAAAGGGTGAAATTGAGTGTGAACTAATTTTAGTAATTTTGCAAAATGACTTTCGTCGTTCGACTCGAAAAGATAATTCGGTTACGTTGATATTTCTTTTGTGAAGATTTTGGCCTTAATTATGTCGAATTTCACTGACTTAAACTATTTTATATTTGACGACTGAAAGTTTTTTATCTTTTGTGATAAAAGGTCGGATTTTGGTTAAATATCTAGACTCGATCTTACTATGGTAATGAACCAATTGCTAGAATCAGATTAAAGCATTTTTCTATTTTTATAAGTTTTTATGGTATAAGTCGGCAAACGAGCAGACGGATTGTAAGCAATCGGCGCCGCCCATGGACACCCGCAACACCAAAGAAGTAACGAGTGCGTTGACGGCCTTTTGGGCGGATATAAGGATCAGGAAGAGTTAGGGGAAGGGCCTCCGGTAACCTCACTCACACGGCGAAAACGCCGTGGGTTGTTTCACGTCGGTATTCTGTGAGGCCGTGGTATCACTCCGGTCGAGCCGACCCATTGGTGCCGAAGCTTGGCTCTCCCACACTTAACAAACAATACTTATGGCATAGCTTTATTTGACAAATGAAAACTTGCACATTATTAAGATACATTCTTTAACAATATAAACAGACCCATAGATTGAATTTACATTCTAAATTCCAATTAACTTAATATGATGATCTTATGTAAATAAAGTTGGACCAACCTTACAGAAGGCATATAAAACAGTGATATAAAAATTGACAAAATATTTTTAAAATAGAAAACATGTCAGTAATCGAAATTTATAAACACAATAATGAACTTAGAAGAATGAAAAGTAACCATATTAATCTATACTAATATTATAAAGAGGTAAAATTTGTTAGTTTATAAGTGTGTATATAGAGGGTAATCTTTGGAACCGCTGCCTGGTCGGATTGCCAAAATTCTTTCGCTGATAGATAGCTACAATGTTCCTGAGTGCTATAGGCTATAAAATATCACGCTACAATGAAATGGAGATGGGCAGCGGGTGAAACCGCGTGAGAGTAGCTATAACATACAAAACAAGTCTTAAAAAATAAAATGTCTTCCAAAATTAGCAATTTGTATGAGCGTAAAGTGTTTACTGCTAATTTCTAATTCACTTACTGTATACTGCTGGCCAATAAAATTAATGAATAAAAATAAAACACAGATTGTGCATGACTAAAAAAATATCATAAAGGTGAGAGTTACCTCACCGTTTAACTGTTTCCAAGTAAAATACTGTGCAACTAATACTATTTCTACTTAGTGGTTTAATTAGTAAGAAAGTTAAAGATTAAAGTTGAACCGACTTCGTTGCGGTTGCCTCGATGTCTGCGTAACTTACATGCTTCAACTTCTGCGCATAAACTTTTAAATATAATGAGTGAATGCAGTCGTTCTTTATTAGTTGCTTAAGAAGTGTATGTCCTAAATAAAAATAATTACGCATACTTAATCACCATCTGTCCTTGCTTGAATCTTTAAAATTTTGCAACGGATTACGATGTGGTTTTTAAATAGACAGTGATTGAAGACGAAGGTTTGTATGTATAATAACGTATATTAAATATTGGAGAAATTTAGCATCAGCATTACACCCGTGCGAAGCCGGGGCGTGTCGCTAGTTGTATGTATTGTATGTCACCAGGCCCTATCAGAATACCAGCGCTGCGCTATTTTTACCTACTGGTGAATTATCGCAGCATATGCTGAGATAGTGGCCTTTTTGACCTCGCACAGGTCTTTTATTTTATTTTAATATTTTTTTGTTGTTGTTTTGTTTATTTTTGTTTGTTTTTTCTTTTTGTATATATAAAATGTAATTGTATTTATTTTCTGTGCGAGTCTCAAATAAATGTTTTTTCTTTCTTTCTTTCTTTCATGTATTTACATGTATGTATAATACCTCTTACCAAAATTATATATTGTCTTCACAAGTTTTCAGAGGAACTGATATATTATATCTCCGAAAACTTATTTGACACATAGTTTTTAGTCTTTTTCATTGATCAAATCGCTCAAAATATGAGCACGAAATGTATTCCTAAATTTTGGAAAGCGTAAATTAGATGGACAAATTCACATTCTTTAAATTCAAAACAACAATAAATTATACAGTATAAAACAAAGTTGCTTCCCGCTGTCTGTCCATAGTGTGTATCTTCAAAACTGCGTGACACATTTTGATGAGAGTTTTTCAAATTCAAAATCGTTTATTTACAAAAAAATACATTGTTTATAAGGAAAGGTCTTATATCTTAAAAGCCGCTGTATTCAGGCTGCAAGCAAGCTTTTCAAAAAAATATAATTGATTAAAAAGTATGGCTTAGACGAGTAATTAATTATTAAGTTTATACAGTATGCAGGTATAATTGTAGCGCTGATAATTACGTAAGTATAGTGACAAGAAACATAGATAAATATCCGTTGCGTAGTTTTAAGGATGTAACCATAAATATACGCGACTTTGCTGTAAGTACTATGTAGTGAAATACATATTATTCCACATAAACGATGTAAACAGTTCGGAAAGTTAGGAAGTTGAAAATTCAATCAGGCTAAACACCGCCCCTAGTTGGCAGTTGGAACAAACTGGATGGAAACTTGCAGACGTATCGAAGAGTTTGCTACTGACGCTGCTGGCAAATTAATTACTAATCAATTAAAGCCTTTGACATGGTATTATATAGATATATCCAAGAATTTGAGTCATCATCAACAGCCTATAAGTGCCCACTGCTGAGCAAAGGCCTGCTCTCACATGGAGAGGGCTTCAGCATTGACCACCACGCTTGCTCAAGGCGGATTATAAGACTTGCAATTTCAAACTTATAATTAGAAATTATAAGCCCAGGCTTCCTAACGATGTTTTCCTTTTCCGTAGGTGGTGTCTAATTATATTAGGAAGTACATGTAAATCGCTAAAAGTAACATTGGTAATTGCCACGTTTCGAACCCACACCTTTATACATGAGACGCGAAAAATTTGACTACCCTACAGTCTCACCGAAGATTTAAAAAAAAAACTTTGCCATACACTAGGATTTTCTCCTGTGTCGTGGGTGTGCGTTTGCGTTTACAAACATACAATTTCACATACACATATCACCCATATTCAGAACAACAATCACACTAACCTATTTCTTCCCTATGAGGCAAGATTTGCAACGAGAAATATATTGCTTTTCAATACAAGTACTTCAAAAATCGATATAACATTCCCCTATTTTCCGGTTTCTTTTTTGTTAAATTCAAAACAGAATTCACTGTAAAGGAAAAGAAAATTAATGAATGCAGTTCAATCCGGATCGAACCGGTTTTATCCGGAGAAATTGCTGGACGTTGCACGTAATACCAGTTTATTATAGGAAATTAGCCAGTGCAGGGGAAATTGCTTTCATAATCTATTTAAAATGGAAATTTATAGTTAACGTTGCATTATTTTAAAGGGTCTTATTAGTTTCTAACGTTGATCTAAGAGAATTTTTATTAAATCATTAAAATGGCTCGATTTGCAATTTCAATCCTTGTGCTGAAATACTACATTTGAATTATAACCTGGCCTTGATGCCTCGCCAGCTGACGTCTCATAATAACATATTTGAACGACATAACCAATGCCTTATGCTATTTAAAAGTTTTATAAAAATAAATGATTTGACTTAGATTTAAAATGCCTTATAAATATAGAATCAGAAAGCAAAAAACACATATCCACAAAAACACACCATATATAAAACCTTACACATTTAAAGCGCCCATAATCCATCTGAAACAGCTATTTCCCCACCACAGAGATAGGGTCCTCATGCATAAATCCGTCCCCCCATTATCCTAGACTGGCATCCTGGATCCCGCCATAATCCTTCTCGTGCCTTGTAATTACGCGCAGGTGGGGACCATTACCGACCCTCGGGTAAACGCTTCCTGACATTTGCATCCTCTAGGAAGCGATTTGCCGACTGTTGAAAAGACGTGAGACTTTTCGAGTGCGTTTGAAATGTGAAGATGGTTGATGGATTGTCTGTTTCGGTAC